GTTGTCCTTAATGCCATTAACAACCTGTCATTTGTAGGGAGGGTCTCATGAATACTGTATAGCGATACAATAATTCACGTTGTTTTGGGGCAATAAATTTATCAGGAAGGTTTGCCCATATTACTCGCCAGTTAAAGAGTGGATATGCCTCCTCTAGGAACTATATGTGGGACAGAACATCATACACTTGTTTACTGTTCATCGTTAAATTGAGAGAAAGTATGACAAGAGGACATAAGTGGAAGCTGGAAACACAAATATCTCGAAGAAATAAAAGGAAATACTCTATCCCTTTACGGGTGTTCAACAAGTGAAATGCACTGATGAAAGTCGTGGAAGCCACCTCCATCTGCAACTTTATTGTCAGATCCAACAAAGAATTCGAACGTCAGGATAGTCGGATCGCAGCAGGTCTGACTAACAGGCGAGATATAATAGTCTCGTTCTGGACTCACAATCAGGAATCTTAGATTCGAATCTCGGGAGGGACAGAAATGTTTGGCACGTTTCCTTTCACATGATGCCGCTGTTCAGCAAATAAGTACCCAGGAGTTAGGCATCTGTTGTTGGAGTTGCATCTTGGAAGGTCTGTAGTTCGACCTTGTGGGGGGGGGGGGGAGGGGGAACCTCGGTATAAGCCTAATAGTATATATGTTGCAGATTTGGAGGATTTTATTATTTTACATTTTGCAAAGAAGGGCTAGTTTATTAGGCAACGTTACTCATCCTATCATTGAACCATCACTGAACAAAGTAGCAATACTGTAGAAGGAGAAAGCTACCAGGGTCTGAAGGCCTCATTCCGCTGCTGAATTCCTTTGGGGCAAGGGATCACACCATACAACATTCTCAGGGGAATAAATAAGGGCATATTATTTCGCATGAGTGGTGTACAAACAGAACACATGGAATGCATTAAGAAGTGCAGTAGTGTAGGCAGACTCCATACACAACATTAAATAGAGACTAATAGGCTATGGCTCATGTACACCAGTCATTTAAGGGTTGAGAGGCGGGATCTAACAGCTGCAATTCAACTAGTCGAATACACGAAATGCTGGACTACAGCAAACCAGGTAATGTAATAGGAGAAACGCCAGAAAACAAAAGAGAAACTAAAAATCAGGCGAATATTAATAATATAAACCAGAGTACGAAACACGGAACATTAATAAGGTTACCTTACCTTACCTTGAGGTTACCTTGAGGTTACCTTGAGGTGCTTCCGGAGCTTAGCGTCCCCGCGGCCCGGTCGTCGACCAGGCCTCCTGGTTGCTGGACTGATCAACCAGGCTGTTGGATGCGGCTGCTCGCAGCCTGACGTATGAGTCACAGCCTGGTTGATCAGGTAGGTAGGTAGATCAGAGTACGAAACACGGAACATTGATAAAGTAGATCAGAGTACGGAACATTAATAAGGTAGATCAGAGTACGAAACACGGAACATTGATAAGGTAGACCAGAGTACGAAACGTGGATTACGGTTCGAAAACAGGAGGCTGAAATCGACCAAAACATAACACGGGAATATATATGGACATAGTAAGCAGTCACAATTAAATATATGAGGCAGAGTAGTCTGGAATCTCATAGCAACAGCCAGTGTGGGTCAGACGCCATCAAGTGCCTGCCCTCCATCCCCCCCCCCCACTTTTTTGTCTCCCTCCAACATCACCACCACCATTCACGAGCATCACCAACATCACCATTCACTAGCATCACCACAATTTACCAGCATCACAACCATCATTCTCCAGCATCACCAACTGGAGAATGGTGGTAATCATTACCATCATTCAGTATCACCATTCTCCAACATCTCCAATACTACCACAATATTTAGCTCAACTAGGTGAGTATAACCATTCACCAGCATCACCATCACCATTCACCAGCATCACTACCACCATTCAATATCACCACCATTCACCAGCACCACTAATAACTACCACCATTCACCAGCATCACTAATAACTACCACCATTCACGAGCATCACTAATAACTACCACCATTCACGAGCATCACTAATAACTACCACCATTCTGCAGCTCTGCAGCATCAGTAATAACTACCACCATTCACCAGCATCGCTAATAACCACCACCATTCACCAGCATCACTAATAACTACCACCATTCACCAGCATCACTAATAACTACCACCATTCACCAGCATAACTAATAACTACCACCATTCACAAGCTTCCACTAATAACTACCACCATTCACCAGCATCACTAATAACTACCACCATTCACCAGCATCACTAATAACTACCACCATCCACGAGCATCACTAATAACTACCACCATCCACGAGCATCACTAATAACTACCACCATCCACGAGCATCACTAATAACTACCACCATCCACGAGCATCACTAATAACTACCACCATTCACCAGGATCACTAATAACTACCACCATCCTCGAGCATCACTAATAACTACCACCATCCACGAGCATCACTAATAACTACCACCATCCACGAGCATCACTAATAACTACCACCATTCACCAGGATCACTAATAACTACCACCATCCACGAGCATCACTAATAACTACCACCATCCACGAGCATCACTAATAACTACCACCATTCACCAGGATCACTAATAACTACCACCATCCACGAGCATCACTAATAACTACCACCATTCACCAGGATCACTAATAACTACCACCATCCACGAGCATCACTAATAACTACCACCATTCACGAGCATCACTAATAACTACCACCATTCACCAGCATCACCCCCCCCCCCTTTTTCTACCACCATTAGTAAGCAGCAGCAGCATCACTACCATTAAGCAGAAACATCACCGATGTTATATTATATATTAACATCGCCGCCATTCGTGAATAGGGAAAGAGTAATATAATAGTTTGAGAGCCGGCTCCGTGCGTGGCAGACTGAGCCATGTCTGCTTCAAGGGGGAATAATACCCAGTGATCCTCGCGTCCTAGTCACCCCATGTTTTGACTACAACTCTCTACTCTGCTTTTCCATGAACTCGTAGTGACGATACATGCCCTGGGAGCCTTAGGCTGTCTCTAAGCTTATGTCATCAATATATATATATATATATATATATATATATATATATATATATATATATATATATATATATATATATATATATATATATATATATATATATATACATATATTACATGATTAGAGTAGATCTCGTGAACTAGAGGTAGAGTAGTCTCGTGTACAAGTACCCATGAGTGTGTACCGTACTGCTCGGAAATACCAGCCACCGTTTTTGTTTTTTAAACTCAGCATTTGCCAGTGTCTTATCGATTCCTGCTGACATATGGTGTGAGCAGAAGAGCTATACCCATATTGAGAATAGTGTAGGATGAGGTTAATATATTAGTGGTGTGTGTGTGAGTCAGCGCCCTACCAGTCCCCCATGCTTGTGGCTCGCCCAGCTGCTGCGCCTGCACCAGTTAATCAATAACCTGCAACTCTCCCTCCCTCTTGCCACACCAAGAGGACGCCGTATGGCTATCACCATTTCTTTCTTTCAAGAAGATAGGAAAGTTATGCTGTCAAACTTTATAGTACGCTAGTTAATGCTAAGTCATGTAGGAAAATGATGTTTAAACTCTTGTGGTTATTCTAGACACTGTGAAATAAACAGAGAACAAGACCAGGTGAGTCACCAGCAATGCGGCAAGTCAGTATTACCAACTTGTTCTCCTGCTTCCAAATGATTAATTTCAATTATTACTTTAAGTATAAGATATTGACGGCATTAAATCGTAGATATATTCGTCCTCAAGAGTAAAGAAGCTGATTACATGTATGGAAAACGGTAAAGATGTTTTAAAACATGGGCGGGCGGAGGAGCCTGTGGGCTGGCAACACTTGGGAGGCTGGGTGACCCTTGCCGGCTTGTAGGCTAAAACCCAACTCACCAGAACAATGTAATATACACCTTATATCATCCACATTTCTATTCAATTTTAAATCTTAGAGAATAAAACAAGGTAACTTCATAGAAATAACTCGCGTAAGAACGCCACGTTAAATATCAAAGGCTGTACTAAGTATTATAGCCCCAAACGACCGTTACAACATAGAGTGTATAGGAAATTGCCAAATATGTCCATCAGAAAAGCTTATTGTATATTAATACACGTAAAAACAAAAATTAACAATGACGTTTATTCTGAAATAATGAATTTTGTTACGGGAAATTCCAGAATTATGACTCTGATCTTTAATGGCGATGTTTGTTTGTTCACTATAGAGTGTTTCCAAGAGTACAAGCCATAGAAGTTCGTTACCGGACTCGTTCAAACTGCGATAGTACAAATACGCTATGACGGTACTACACCCAAGCTTATATATTTAAAAATAGCAAACACATACTGCATGATCCTACTTAATATTTCTCTACACTATATATTTCTCGTGATTTGAACCTAGAAGTGTGATAATAAATGATATTTAGAGGTGCTAGGCAGTGCTCTAGATAACACCAGCCAGGTTCTTAAGACACTAGAAGTGTGCTAAAAAAGGCGGCGGCAGTAAGCATGGTGGTGGTGGGTTGTCACCCTTTAACTAAACTCCTCACAGGGGAAAGTCCTGAGTGTTCTAGATTCCCACAAGCCAGACTCCTGTGTCTAATACTTTAAAATTAAGCCCTCTGCGGCTGACTACATCGTTAAGGCTCGCTATTCGTATAAAGAAAGGGGAGAAATGGTTTATATGTAATAATATTATAACAGTGAGAGATGGCGGAGTGTGGAGGTGGTGGTGGGAGCGCCCCCATACAGGGCCTCCCACATTCAAATTCACCGCCTCATCAAACGAAAACCTGTTGCGTCTATAAAGTTAAAACAAAATATCAATAACTCTTATTATAAATTAATAACTACTTAATTTTTATAATGTAATAAAAAGAAGTTAGTAAGATGGACGGACTGTAATATAAATGTGTAAAGAGCGAGTGAGTTGGGTTGTGTGGCGGCGTGTGGCAGCGAGCGCAGGCTTGCCCGTCGCCTCCCGCCGGAGACCAGATCAGAAGCGGCTGTTAACGGTCAGCGGACAGTCACACATACTCACAACACCGCCACCATGAGGGAAATTGTGCACCTACAGACTGGCCAGTGCGGCAACCAGATCGGAACGAAGGTAAGAAGACTTGTATTACGTCTCTGTGCACTGTTTAGTGGCGATAGAGGAAACTTTTGGTGTTTTATCTTAAGTGTGATGGCGGGAGATGTGTGCCGGCCGGTGGTGGCGTCCCGCCTCCTCTCTCTCTCGCCCTCCTTAGCTTGACCTGGCATTGTGTTTATTTCTGAAGTTTGTGTACTAGGTTTTATCGCTTGTGAGGAACTACTAAGAGTTAAGACTGGATAATGACTTGTGGCCAATTGGAGTCTCGCTGTACGTAGTGCTTTGTTCCGGCGGCACATGGGCGGGCCTCGCCGGGTGAGACTTATGGGTGAAGAGACTGGGTGAGGTGAGGCTTTGAGGCGAGGCTGTGGCTGGGGTGAGGTGAGGCTTTGAGGCGAGACTGTGGCTGGGGTGAGGTTTGGAGGGGAGGCTGGGGTGAGGTTTGGAGGGGAGGCTGGGGTGAGGTTTGGAGGGGAGGCTGGGGTGAGGTTTGGAGGGGAGGCTGGGGTGAGGTTTGGAGGGGAGGCTGGGGTGAGGTTTGGAGGGGAGGCTGGGGTGAGGTTTGGAGGGGAGGCTGTGGCTGGGGTGAGGTTTGGAGGCGAGGCTGGGGTGAGGTGAGGCTTTTGAGGCGAGGCTGGGGTGAGGTGAGGCGAGGCTGGGGCGAGGTGAGGCTTTTGAGGCGAGGCTGTGGCTGGGGTGAGGTTTGGAGGGGAGGCTGGGGTGAGGTTTGGAGGCGAGGCTGGGGTGAGGTGAGGCTTTTGAGGCGAGGCTGGGGCGAGGTGAGGCTTTTGAGGCGAGGCTGTGGCTGGGGTGAGGTTTGGAGGGGAGGCTGTGGCGAGGCGAGGCTGGGGTGAGGTGAGGTTTGGAGGGGAGGCTGGGGTGAAGTTTGGAGGCGAGGCTGTGGCTGAGGTGAAGTTTGGAGGCGAGGCTGTGGCTGAGGTGAGGTTTGGAGGCGAGGCTTTTTCCCAGATAGGAAAATGAACATCTCTCAAAGTGTGGGCGGGGAGGTGAGACAGTGGCGGGCGTGGCGGGGCCAGCACTCCTCCCGCCAGCCGCCATTGTCTGCCTGGGCCGCACCCACCCGTGCTCCATGGCGGCTCGCCTTGAGCGCGAGACATATTTTTGGGTAATATAATGAGATTTACATGATTTGAAGCAAAATGGGATTGTTACATACCTACCCTTTCAATTGATTTAAAATAGAATTTGAAACTATTCTGCAGGTTTTCACTACTGGTTTACACAAATTTCATAACTTGGGGGAAATGAAGTGTTAACCTGTGTAGTTCCAGAAATTTACTTGGGCTAGTATTCAGCAGTTAAGTTATTCCACATCTTATTAGTTTACTTTTTAATTTAAAGGTAAAATTTGGTGTACCTTGGGCTCGCATCTGAATCTGCCTAGGAAAGTTTTTATTAGCCTAGAAATTTGGGTAAACCCATGCAGAGTTTTAGTTAATGGAAAATTTTTATATTGTATTGACAACTTTTTTTTTTTTTTTTCCAGTTCTGGGAAATCATCAGTGATGAACATGGCATCCAGCCAACTGGGGAATACTCTGGTACTGATAAGGACTTGATGGAACTCCAGTTAGAAAGAATTAATGTTTATTATAATGAGGGCAACCAAGGAAAGTACGTTCCCCGTGCAGTCCTGGTTGACTTGGAGCCAGGAACTATGGACAGTGTCAGAGCAGGACCCCATGGACAACTCTTCAAACCAGACAGTTTTGTATTCGGTAAGTTAATGGTTTCTGAATTTTTAAGTGGTTAAAATGTTACTTGTAAGACATTTTGCATTGCAAATGCATGTATTTGTTTTATTATGGAGAATTCCTTATTTTCAGGTCAGAGTGGTGCAGGTAACAACTGGGCTAAAGGTCATTACACAGAAGGTGCTGAACTCGTAGATTCTGTCCTTGATGTCATCCGCAAGGAAGCAGAGAAGTGTGACTGTCTTCAGGGCTTCCAATTGACACATTCCCTTGGTGGTGGTACTGGGTCTGGTATGGGCACACTTCTTGTCTCAAAGATTCGTGAAGAATTCCCAGACAGGATCATGAACACCTTCTCCGTTGTCCCATCTCCTAAAGTAAGTTAAAATTGCCAATATTAAATGCATGACTGGTGCTGTCAAATGGCCTTTGCCACAAGATGGTTTTGAAAAATTTGGTAGAAATTTTTATTTTAATTGAGAGGGTTTTGATCAAAAGTGCATAATTATCTAGACCCATATTAGAACTAACATAAGAGGGTTAAACAGCTATAGTAAAAAAAATTTACTAAACATTTTACAAAGTTGTATCCCTTGGCCCAGTTTATTTTATTAATACACTGTAAATAGTTCTGGTGCATTATTTGGTAGAATAATTTGTTGGTTAAATTCTAATACTTGACTATACTTGAATTATCACTTAAAATAGCAATTTCATCTGAAATTGCTCTAAAATGTCATGGGCAAGTTTTTAAAGATTTATTTTAAAACAAAGGGAAGTGTGCAGTACTTGTACAACATTTGCAGAATAAATTTAATGTAAAGTTTGGTCATGGGCATATTTCTAAGTACTCCTGTATGCTTAACTTGCAATTTTTAGCAAATAAAGCAGAGGGAAGATTTTTACCTGCACACTTGGTACTTGAGCATGTGCTGTGTACTGGTCTGTGACATCAAAAATAATGAAGTAGGATTAAAGGGGTTCCAAAGCTTCTACTGAAGGCAAAGTGGGCATTTTATGCTTTGCCCACATGCCATCTGGCTGTGGTAAAATTTACTTCCACTTGTACATTTGGTGAAAAGCATTGGAGGTAAACCTCCTGGACCACAGCTGCTGCATGGGGGGGGGGGGGTTAATGTGTGAAACCCAGGTTGTTCCAGTGAAAGCTTCTGGACCCTTAGAATAGTTAAATTTTTGTTGAGAAATGTTGGTCTAAGGCATGTACCAAAGTACAATATGCGAGTTAGAATCCTCATGGCTCCTGATTTATTGATAAATTGTATTGGTGCACTTTCATGGTGCTTTTGTCTTTTTAGTGTCAATTTCAATCATTTGGAGGAAAAGTTTCGACCTGTTGCTTATAAAATTTACTACCAAGAAAGATAAAATTCAATTGCCTGAAGTTTAAAGCCTACAGTACTTTAAGATTTAAATATCACCATAGTTTAATGATGGTTTACACCATATTACTGTAAATTTGATTCTTGGTCTTTAACAAATAGCTAGTAATTTAGCTAGAAATATTTGGCATTTAAGAAATCGAAAGTTTCTGACTAGCATTTTGATACTGAATTTCATCTTGACTGTCATATGCATGATGGTTAACTTGTTTAATGTTAAAGTTTTAGAAAGTGTTTTATTTCGCTTGCCAAGTTTACATTGATGCAATGTGAGCGCACAAATAGTTAACTTGGTGAGACTGGTATTGCCTTGTGCAGTAAAAGCATTAGGTTTCCATCTTCGTTTATTTAGTTGTATTTTCGTTTGGGTATGTTTGCCTAGCTATTGAATCTCTTAAGCTTACAAAACCAGTGACCAAAGACAACCTTGGTATTTCAATACAGCTTCAGAAAGCTGTAGTAAATTGGGGTCTGCAGTTTTGTTCTGCTTCATCCTAAGTATTTGCTCCTGGATGCATTTTAATTATCCTTGTCTTGTACAGTACTAGATCCATTAAAGTACTTTTTATTAAAAACACTTACAATGTGCCTGGGTTTGGGAATATTGTCATAATTATCAGGGCTATACAGTTCCACAATATTCTTTGATAAGATTAGGTTTGATGGACAGGTATCTTGTGTATACACACGTACCTTCAGAGAAACCCCCTTACCCTACCCCTCTATTCACTCTTGCATGGGAATAAAACCAGTATCAGATTAGTGTATAACTGTACCACTGAAATGGAGTTGGGTTTCATCAGGTTTGATTGCTAATAGTGTAAGTGTAGTTTTAGAGTGTATACTACTGCTTACTAGTAGTATTAGAAATTTATTTAAAAATTGCTTAGTATTGTAAGATTCACTAGACTCGTCAGGTGTCACCAACTTGAAGTTGCCATTCAATGGCTAAACTACCTAATAATAGACAAATTGACTTATTTGGAACTAACCTTAACATATTTCTTCAGGTTTCAGATACTGTGGTAGAACCCTACAATGCAACTCTATCAATCCATCAACTTGTCGAAAACACAGACGAAACCTACTGTATTGACAACGAGGCTTTGTACGATATCTGCTTCAGAACACTAAAACTACAGAACCCCACTTACGGTGACCTTAACCATCTCGTTTCTCTAACAATGTCTGGTGTCACCACTTGCTTCAGATTCCCAGGCCAGCTGAATGCTGATCTAAGAAAGCTGGCTGTTAATATGGTGCCATTCCCACGTCTTCACTTCTTCATGCCTGGATTCGCTCCTCTCACCGCTCGTGGATCCCAGCAGTATCGTGCCCTTACAGTCCCCGAACTTACACAACAGATGTTTGACGCAAAGAACATGATGGCTGCCTGTGACCCTCGACACGGACGTTACTTGACTGTAGCTGCCATTTTCCGTGGCCGCATGTCTATGAAGGAGGTAGATGAACAGATGTACAACATCCAGAATAAGAACTCTTCATTCTTCGTTGAATGGATCCCCAACAATGTCAAGACTGCAGTGTGTGACATTCCACCACGTGGTATCAAGATGGCTTCAACATTCATTGGTAACTCTACTGCCATTCAAGAGCTATTTAAGCGTGTGGGCGAACAATTTACTGCCATGTTCAGGCGAAAGGCTTTCCTTCATTGGTACACAGGTGAAGGAATGGACGAGATGGAGTTCACTGAAGCTGAATCGAACATGAATGATTTGGTTTCAGAATACCAACAATACCAGGAAGCCACTGCAGATGACGAGGCTGAATTTGAAGAGGAAGGCGAAGTCGAGGGCGAATATGCCTAAAGTAAATTATAAAATTGGTCAACTTGCCGTTTCTTTTCCTTAGTTGATCATTGTACATTCCTCCGATATTTTTTTTTCATTGTATGAATCAAATGTGAACAAATTTTCTTCAATTTCTTTCTATTTTTTAATATGATTTATAGCACACAAACAGAAGTTTCCTTGTCCAAACAAATGTTTCCTATGTACTTGAGAGGATTTTGGTAAAAATTCTTCTTCAATGAACGTAAAACAAAAATACTAGATTCTTTTATTTAATACAGTTATAACTGTACAACCTATCCTGTTATGAAAATATTTTGAATGGATTATTCTAGGTATTTATGAAGTAGAAAATTGGTCGTAATAACCATTCCAGGCCTGGGAATTGTTATTAGTACTATTTACTTACGATCTAATTTGCCGTTACGTCAACATACAATGGTCCTTGTTTTTAAAGTCTTTCATAATTGTTTCGAACAAAGAAGCTGTGATCTAACCTGCCATGGGCAAAATTTTTTTTAATAGGCAAGTTTTGTAATCGTTGGCTTCGACCCTCTTGGCAAAATTAAAAAAAAAACAACTCAATTTGATCGAACACCTGGAGAGTAATAACGGGCTAGACATTAGTATCAGGGCTGGGGGATGATAACTGACAGGCAGTATGGTTATCTAAAGAGCCAGAGACCACAGTAAAGGTCGTAGGGTTGACTAAAGGCTTTCCCTACAGAAGAAATATATGAACATATTTAAGGATGCGAAGAGAAGCAGACTATTGTAATGTAAGAATATTTTATTTAGAAGGTACAATGGGTTTGTGACATTAGTACCTTGCAAAGCCATTAACACTGCTTTTCGAGCAGGTCCTTTACCTAACATATCTGGTAAGGTAGAAAAAAGTACATTGTAGCAAGGTGTTATCACCAATAAAAAATGATAATTGATTACATTGGTACAGTGTGAGTTTGAAGCACAAGGTAGGAAACGATGAAATGAAGTACTTTCTAGTTTTACTCGTGAACAGGGCATAGGTTTGTCAATTTAAATTCATCAGGGAGTGTTCCAAAAAACGGACCCTTTTATTTGCATGGATTTAGTCGGGATATATCGTGTGGTGCTCATAGGTTCTATTACACCTATTGACAAACTTTCAGATAAAGATTAGCATTTAGGAACAAGGTTTAATACATGTGTGGAATTCGGGGTCCGTCTAATTACCCGAAACTTCCTGGCATTACGTTAGTAATGAATAAATGATATTATAATGGTGCTGAATGTAGAACATGAAATTTTTTTTTTTTACTCTGAAAAAGTTATTTTATAACAATTAGTCGAAAATAAGCTGCTGGTGACGCTAAAGCATGTCGACGGTCCAAATGATTTTCCATGTTTCTACATTCAACGCTAACAAAAGTGAGTAAATATATTTCTTCATTACTTACGTAATGCTAGGAAGCTTTGGGTAGCTTTGAGTAAATTTGGGTAGTTAAGTAAGTAATTATCAAAAGAAGGCACCAAACCGGGAAGGCTATGTAGCACCATCAAATACGCAAAATAATCCGAGGGCGCTAAATATCACCAAGGATGCCAATACGAGAACAAAAACGCATAACGCGAACAATATCAAAAGCATCCGAGTCACCAAGAATTCTATCGAGGGACAGGTGACCGCGAGGGGCGGTCGGAAAGCAAGACACACGCTCGTCCTGGAAGTCAGGACATTCAAGAAGGACATGCACGACCGTAAGAGGGACAATGCAACTAGGACAATAAGGAGCAGGGCGGCGCTCCATCAAGTGACCATGGGTTAAGCGAGTATGGCCAATACGCAACCTCGCCAGAGCTGTTTCCCACCGCCGGTTACGGTGGAAGGAGGACGGCCATGAGGAAACACAACATTTAAGAGTACGTAGCTTGTTACCAGTAACAGACAACCAAGAAGCCTGCCAACGGGTAAGGACTGAGGAATGGATAACCGGGTAAAAGTCGGAATACGGAATGCCTTTACGAGAGATGGGACAAGAGCGGACAGCTTCCTTGGCGGCAGCATCCGCACGCTCATTTAAAGACACATCAGTATGGCTGGGAACCCAACAAAACTCAACCGACTTAAATTTACTGTGAACAAGAAACAGCCAATGCTGGATCTCGACAACAACTGGATGAACCGGATTAAAGGACCCGAGAGCCATGAGGGCACTACGAGAGTCAACAACAACTACAAAGGAGGACTGACAACGAGAAAGCAGGAGACGAAGAGCATATAGAATAGCATAAAGTTCCGCTGTAAAGATGCTAGTCTCTGGAGGTAAGCGACACATATAAGTGCGATCAGGAAAAACAACAGAGTAGCCAACACCGTCCGCCGACTTAGACCCATCGGTGAAGACAGAATCGGAGCGGGAGTGAGATGAAAAGTGCTCAAGGAAAAGGCGTTTTAGAACCGTAGGAGGGGTAAAAGCTTTAGTGATACGGGTCAAGGAAGTACAAAACCGCGGAAGAGGGACTCTCCACGGGGGCAAAGAAGGAACAACACGAGGAGAAACATTAGAAATACGAACGGAAAGAGAATCCTGGAGGCGAGATAACCGGACAGAAAGAGGGAGGTGGTGAAGAGGAACCGCAGGAGGGGTAAAAGTTAAACCACGACAGGCGAGAGGAAGGATGTTGTAAGGACCGCGCAAGATAGCGAAGACAGTAGCGATCACGGCGGTCCTGGAGAGACAGGAAGCCAGTGTCAAAATTGGGCTACTTTCACTACTTTGTAGCCCAAAATTAGGCTACTTTCGCTACTTAGTAGCCCAAAATTGGGCTACTTTCGCTACTTTGTAGCCCAAATTTGGGCTACTTTCGCTACTTTGTAGCCCAAAATTGGGCTACTTTCGCTACTTTGTAGCCCAAAATTGGGCTACTTTCGCTACTTTGTAGCCCAAAATTTAGCTACTTTCGCTACTTTGTAGCCCAAAATTGGGCTACTTTCACTATTTGTAGCCCAAAATTGGGCTACTTTCGCTACTTTGTAGCTCAAAATTGGGCTACTTTCGCTACTTTGTAGCCCAAATTTGGGCTACTTTCGCTACTTTGTAGCCCAAATTTGGGCTACTTTCGCTACTTTGGAGCCCAAATTTGGGCTACTTTCGCTACTTTGTAGCCCAAATTTGGGCTACTTTCGCTACTTTGTAGCCCAAATCTGGGCTACTTTCGCTACTTTGTAGCCCAAATTTGGGCTACTTTCGCTACTTTGTAGCCCAAAATTGGGCTACTTTGTAGCCCAAATTTGGGCTACGTTCGCTACTTTGTAGCCCAAAATTGGGCAACTTTCGCTACTTTATAGCCCAAAATTGGGCTACTTTCGCTACTTTGTAGCCCAAAATTGGGCAACTTTCGCTACTTTGTAGCCCAAAATTGGGCTACTTTCGCTACTTTGTAGCCCAAATTTGGGCTACTTTCGCTACTTTGTAGCCCAAAATTGGGCTACTTTCGCTACTTTGTAGCCCAAAATTGGGCTACTTTCGCTACTTTGTAGCCCAAATTTGGGCAACTTTCGCTACTTTGTAGCCCAAAATTGGGCTACTTTCGCTACTTTGTAGCCCAAATTTGGGCAACTTTCGCTACTTTGTAGCCCAAATTTGGGCTACTTTCGCTACTTTGTAGCCCAAAATTGGGCTACTTTCGCTACTTTGTAGCCCAAAATTGGGCTACTTTCGCTACTTTGTAGCCCAAAATTGGGCTACTTTCGCTACTTTGTAGCCCAAAATTGGGCTACTTTCGCTACTTTGTAGCCCAAAATTGGGCTACTTTCGCTACTTTGTAGCCCAAAATTTAGCTACTTTCGCTACTTTGTAGCCCAAAATTGGGCTACTTTCACTATTTGTAGCCCAAAATTGGGCTACTTTCGCTACTTTGTAGCTCAAAATTGGGCTACTTTCGCTACTTTGTAGCCCAAATTTGGGCTACTTTCGCTACTTTGTAGCCCAAATTTGGGCTACTTTCGCTACTTTGTAGCCCAAATTTGGGCTACTTTCGCTACTTTGTAACCCAAATTTGGGCTACTTTCGCTACTTTGTAGCCCAAATTTGGGCTACTTTCGCTACTTTGTAGCCCAAATTTGGGCTACGTTCGCTACTTTGTAGCCCAAAATTGGGCAACTTTCGCTACTTTGTAGCCCAAAATTGGGCTACTTTCGCTACTTTGTAGCCCAAATTTGGGCTACTTTCGCTACTTTGTAGCCCCAAATTGGGCTACTTTCGCTACTTTGTAGCCCAAAATTGGGCTACTTTCGCTACTTTGTAGCCCAAATTTGGGCTACTTTCGCTACTTTGTAGCCCAAAATTGGGCTACTTTCGCTACTTTGTAGCCCAAATTTGGGCAACTTTCGCTACTTTGTAGCCCAAATTTGGGCTACTTTCGCTACTTTGTAGCCCAAAATTGGGCTACTTTCGCTACTTTGTAGCCCAAAATTGGTCTACTTTCGCTACTTTGTAGCCCAAAATTGGGCTACTTTCTAGCCCAAAATTGGGCTACTTTCGCTACTTTGTAGCCCAAAATTGGGCTACTTTCGCTACTTTGTAGCCCAAATTTGGGCTACTTTCGCTACTTTGTAGCCCAAATTTGGGCTACTTTCGCTACTTTGTAGCCCAAATTTGGGCTACTTTCGCTACTTTGTAGCCCAAATTTGGGCTACTTTCGCTACTTTGTAGCCCAAATTTGGGCTACTTTCGCTACTTTGTAGCCAAAATTTGGGCTACTTTCGCTACTTTGTAGCCCAAATTTGGGCTACTTTCGCTACTTTGTAGCCCAAATTTGGGCTACTTTCGCTACTTTGTAGCCCAAAATTGGGCTACTTTCGCTACTTTGTAGCCCAAATTTGGGCAACTTTCGCTACTTTGTAGCCCAAATTTGGGCTACTTTCGCTACTTTGTAGCCCAAAATTGGGCTACTTTCGCTACTTTGTAGCCCAAAATTGGGCTACTTTCGCTACTTTGTAGCCCAAATTTGGGCTACTTTCGCTACTTTGTAGCCCAAATTTGGGCTACTTTCGCTACTTTGTAGCCCAAATTTGGGCTACTTTCGCTACTTTGTAGCCCAAAATTGGGCTACTTTCGCTACTTTGTAGCCCAAAATTGGGCTACTTTCGCTACTTTGTAGCCCAAAATTGGGCTACTTTCGCTACTTTGTAGCCCAAATTTGGGCTACTTTCGCTACTTTGTAGCCCAAATTTGGGCTACTTTCGCTACTTTGTAGCCCAAATTTGGGC